TGTGTGTGGGGGGTGTCTGTCCAATTGCATACAGGTGGGCTTTGGGTCTCTACTCCAACCCCCCTCTTTCACATTGATATAATTATTTGTTTGAGATCTTTTGATACTTGACCCCATCAACACTTCACTGTGACACAGGCTGGTGTGCTTCTTCCATGTGGGCTTATTTGCCTCCCTGCTGGATGGCTGTTTGTCTAACTTCAAGCCTTTAAGACCCCAGACACTGTATCTTTTGATAGGCAGACACCAACTGTTCTCTTCACCATATTTGCTTATGTATCTATTTTGTGTTCGGCAATTATGTAGGAAAGGTGAGTACCAAAGAGTGTCAGATTATCAGAACAAAGTGTTCTTTGTGTTTAGGGAGCCCTGAGTAGAGGTCCAAAGTCCATCTGCTATCTTAACACTTAACATTGGCCTCTATCCCTTTCATTATAAATTAATATATTTACATATAACATGCTTACAGCTATACCTCTATAAACAGTTTCTGCCTCTTAGTCTTTCCTCTATTTCCTTTCACATTCTTCCTGTCCTACTATCATGTTCACCCTCCATTTGGCTCTCAGTAATTCCTTTCAGATACATTGCACTTGATCAAACCCTATCAAGCACTATATGCCCTCTTCATCATCAATTTTAAATCTCTTGCTATTCCCTTATCCCCAAATTTGTTGGTTCCCAGCTTCCCACTCCTCCCATGTTCCTTAAGGACCACTGGTACCGTTGTTTTCTCATCAGGATTGTTTTTCCTGCCTATCATATAGATAGACATAGAGCGGCAACTTTTCTTAATAACCGAGATATTGAATTGTATGAAATGTGAAATTAGAGGTACAGTTATTTTAAAAATAAGTATTCAAATTTACATACATTCTGATTAAAATTTTATTTTTCACGTAAAAAAGGGATGTCATCATATATGTATCGACAAGCTGATTATGAGCATGCCTCAATCTACTTTTGGAAAGGTAGGATAAAATAACTGAAGAAAACCATTGTATTAAAACATACTTCAACAAAGGCATTCTTTTTAAATTAATAAGAAATGTGATCTAAAACTTAGCTTATGATGTGTAAGACTATAATAAAAAGCCAAATTATGTTACAAATAATTTTAATATCAGATAGCAGGAAACTTTGAACTGTCACACAAGAATGTTCGTATAATCCCTTTTCTTAACAGACTGGCAAACCCCGTTTTTAACATCAAGGCATCTATAATATGATTAATCCACAAATCGTCGACCCTGTTCATTAGTGCAGATAATTTTAATTATACAACCCACTTCACTGGCATATCTATTTGAGAAAGAGGCCAGCCTATCATGTTCCATTTGTGTAAGCAATCATGACGACCAATACAAAGTTTGATTCAACAATTCTAGAAGAAAAGATTCTATAGAATGTATCACTAATATCATCATCATCATCGATTTTTTAAAATATGTAAAACAATGATCCTTAACAATACTTACTTTCAGCATTGGACAAAGTGCAGGGATTACAGTCAACCAAAGCCAACTGAAAATGCTGCAAGAGAGCGAGAAAATTAAAGAACTAAACTTAGTGTCACATCAATGTATCCTGAAATATCACTCAGGGACTTAAGGAATAACAAAACTATGCAATGAAAATAAAATGTACTGACTACCAAATACAATTTCTGTCAACACACTG